TTTGACCCCGAAGACACCGGTCTGCTTTTTGGATGGGGTCCTCTTCAGGCTCATGTCCCTGCTTGTGAACTTCATGGAGAACTCCACCTTGATCTGTGGGAGACAGGGGGTGAGTCCTGGTTGGCACGAAGGCACGGGGAAGGGGCTGCAATCCCAGAGAGGGGCTTGGGTCCCCCAGCCCCACTTACCCCATTCATCTCAATCACATCCATATGCCAATTTTTCGTCTGCACAGCCTGAGGGTCCAGCTGTGGGGAGAGATGGTGTGTGAGCTCCACGGGGACACAGCCCCATGCCAGCCTGGTGTCCCCAAAAACCCTTGATCCACAGATGGTGTAGGGCACAGGACATGCTCTTCCTGGGCAACATGCTGCTCAGGACAAGAGGATGGAGAGGTTCCCCTCTGGGGTCCCTCTGGCCATGCCCTGAAGCCAGGTGGGCTCAGCCTCCCCATCCTGCCCTCCCTGGAGCCCCTGCGAGGCAGTGCTTTAACACACACCCGAGCAGCAAGAAATTTCCAAGAAATTAGGACTATTTCTAGCGGCAGATTGATGAAACAGAACTAGGGCAGCGTTTTCCATGCAGAAAAACAACATCTCCCCATAGCCAAGGCTATTTATAACCCCTGGGAATGACAGGCTCCGCTATTTCTGGCTTTGGGGCTAGCAGGGGACTCGGTGACGCTGCCCCGGCGCCCGGCTGCTGCGAAGAGGTGCCGGCATTCCCAAGGCCCCAGCACGTGCCGCGGTGGGTTCCGGGCCCCAGGGCTGGGCAGAGATGGGTGCAGTTGCCTTTTGGGGCTTTTTGGTCCCCAGCTGGTGGTATCGACCCAGCCCCATCGATCCCTGTAATGCACAGGGCAGGCAGCGGGGCAGAGCCTGGCACTAATGTCCCCTTGGGGAAGGGGATGGGATGCGGGAGCTGGCGGGGGCTCCCAGGGCTGGGGGCACACAGCTGCCAGGAGACACTCACACCAAGCACACGAGGTCACTCTGCAAGGACACAGGAGTTTCCCACAGCTGCTGGGTTGGGAGATGCTCCAGGCAAGCGCAAAGATGTCCAGAGCTGCTGCTGCAGCCATAGAGCTGCTGTTCCCCTGCCCATGAAGTCACTGCATGTCATGGGGGGACTCAGGGGTCACTAATGTCCCATCTGGCACACCAAGACCCCACGGTCCCAAGGACAGGCTCGAGCTGCCCTGGCTCTCAGCACAGACCCAGCATAGTGGCATCGTCCCATGTCCAGTCCTGTGTCGTGGTGAGCTCGAGCAGCTCCTCAGCGACCACAGTGCCACGGGAAACACTGTCATCTCCAGCAAGGCAGAAATGCTGCTGTCTCCAGCATGGTCCAGGAATGGCTCCTGACACAGAGCCCTCCCGGGACATGGAAGCACAGCCCGGCACATGGAAGAGCCCAGTGAGTGCCACGCTGCTTCCTCTGTGCCAGCCCTGCGGCTGCTGGGAACGGCAGCGGGGGGAGTGGAAGGAGGAGGAGGAGGAAGGCTGCAGCTGCCCTGGGCTCCCATGGGACCCTGCAGCAGGTCTGGACACCAGGATCACGAGACTGCAGCCAGACCACTGCCAGCTCCAGCCCTGCTGCTCCAGATCCTCTGTGCACATCCGCACCACCGGATCCCCCTGCACCCACCACAGCCAACGCCAACCCAACGGCACCTGTCCCAGGGGCTTTCATCCCTTCTCCCCACACATCCTCATCCTGTTCATGGCAGCAGAAGCGAAGCCCCTTTGCCCCCCAACCATGTCAGGAGCCGTGGGCCTCCCTGCTCTGCAACACGATTTTAACTGCAACCACCACACGCGCCTTCCCCATCCCCATGCCCCAGGTCCCTCCGGCCCCAATGGCCCTGGCAGCTCACATCTGGAAGGGCTTTAGCAGGGCTCTGGAGAAAGCTTTAATAAAAGCCAGGTTGGCTGCCACCAGTGCCACAGACCTTACCCTGAGCCCGTCACCTCCCCACGGTCCCTTCCCCCTGGATGGGAAGAATCATCCCCATCCAGCTCCCCGCAGCGGCCAGCATGGCCCGAATTTGGGCTACTTCTGCTGGCCTCACCAGCCCAAGCTACCTTACAGCTGGGGTAGGCCCCTGAGCACCCCTGGGACACCATTTGTGGCCTGGCCCTGGTGCTCCTCTAACCTTTCCCTCCGGCACTCCGCACAGCAGGCAGCCCACAACGCTGCCCAATCCCCAAGGGAAGCAAAGCCACGTCCAATGCTTCGTCTCCAGGCGTGGGAGGATGGATGGGAGCATCCACCCACAGAGCCAGAGGCAGCTCCTGCCCACACAGCGCTGGCAAACACCCCATCTCAGCTACCACCACCATCTCCTTCTCCTCCAAAGGGAGCTGCCTTGCTCCAGCATGATGCAGGGACATCCCAGGTCAGTGGGGAACTGCTGGGCTGGGAGCCCTGGGGAGCAGCCTCCATGCCAGCGCTGTGCAGGATGAGGTGTCAGCTCCTCTAGGGCGGGTCAGAGGGCTTCAAACACCAGCCTGTGCTTGGGGAAACACCTCAGCCAGCTCACCAGCACCTCTCAGGCCACTCCCTCCTGCATCTCAGGCACTCTCAGCCGTGGTAGTATCTGTGCCAAGCCAGCATCCACTGCAGTGCTGCTCTCATCCACGGTGAGGTGAAACAACTCTTGCTCCTGGCACAAGGATATGCTATCATTCTGGTTTCCCAAATTATCCAAAGGTGTTTGCTTGTAGGACAAGGCCCCGGGTTGAGGAGGAACAGGCGGCAGCATGGCAGGCGATGAACATCCCGGCAGCCCAGCAGCACTTGGTGTGTCCTGGGGAGGTTCCCGTGGCAGAGGGACCCACGGTCCTGCTGGTGCTGACCCTGCTGCCTGCTGCTTGTGTTGTGCATGGGGCGACTCTGGACTTGAGGGGATGAGGCCACATCTTGGAATTTTGTCCTCAAGACACCTCCAGGCTGTGGCACTGTGGATACAGTTCCTACATGGGCTGTGGCAGCCAAGACAGACCCAGGCAGTGCTGGGTCTCCAGAGCTCCCAGGTAAGGAACTGAGAGGCCTCCAAACTCTCATGGTGGCTTCTCCAGGGCCCCAAGTGCCAGGGTGCTGCAGCAGGGCAGGGGCTGCCAGGCTGGGCATGTCCCTTCCTCACACCTCACGCCCATGAGGTCACCCAACTGTCAGCCTGGGGTGAAGCAATCGGAAGCAAACTGGTGACTCAGTGAGCCAGGTCATCTCTGCCACAGCCCTGGGGAGCAGGATCCCAGAGGAGTTGCTACAGCCAGCGTTCCTTCCCATCAGCGCTGCATCCATGAACACCCAGGGACGCCCTGGCTCCAGCCAGCAGATCCCCCACCAGACCTTCAGGCCAGCAGCTCCCTCCTCAGGGAACAGACAGTTTCTGAGCCGACCGGTGCTGTGGGGCAGAGCAGCCCCCCCACCAGCAAAGGCTGCCAGTGGTAAAGCACAGCGCCCCAAAAAGCAGCGATTCACAGCCCCATTTGAGAGCGACCTGAGAAGCAGCAGCGCCCGCGGCACATCGGGACCACGCCGGGGTCACATCCTGCTCTGCAGCCCCAGCGCTCCCGGGCAGCAGCCAGCAGGGAAGCTGGCGGCCACAATGGGGACGTGTGGGGTTGAGAAACTAAACCCTTTCTTGTTTTGACCCAGCAACAGCCGGCGGCAGCCCCCGGGCAGCCTCCCCACACAGCCCTCGCTGCCCCTTAATCCCTCTGCGGGAGCAGCGGCACAGAATCGAGGTTAATGCCGCTGCGTCACAGGCGGCCCCGCTGCTGCCAAACCGAGCCCCCACGGGCCCAGGCAGCTCCTGCCCGTGGTCACAGCTGAGCCCCGGGCCAGCATCTCCCTGCACAGGGGGACCCCACGCAGGGAAACCCCCAGGGGTTCCCATGGGGCTTTTGGGACAGCCTGTGAGGGTGCTGTCCCCCTCCCCTGCCCGCCCCTGTCCTCCCACAAAGACGGGCAGCACTGGCTGATGTGGCTGCGACACAGCTGGGAGCTGAGGGAAGCCTGGATGGACCCGGGAGGAGGGTTTGCAAACCAAGGAAGAGGGGATACACAGGCACCGGGTGCTGTAGGACCCCAGGAGCCCACCCCTGGTCAGCCCACAAGCATCTCTACCTCCTGGGCAAGCCCCGGGGCTGAGCAGTGGGGCTCCCTGCCCTTCCTCTGCAGGACCCCTCTGTGTAAACAGCTCAGCTCTCCCAGCTCCCCAGCACACAGAGGGACAGGGGAGGAGGAAAACAAGCACCTCACAGGCTGCCAACTGCACCTAAGAGCTCCCAAAGCACCCAAACAGCTCCGTGCACGGACCACACAGCACTCGCTCTACCCACAAGCCCCCCATGGCAGAGCCCCTCACCCCACAAAACTGCCCACCAAAAAGCCATGCACAGCAGAGCCCAGCGACACCCAGAGCCCACCGCGGTCCCCTCCAGCCATTCCCCCTTTCCCCCCGAGAAGCACCTTCTGCCGGAGCAGTTTGCTGCGCACTCTGCCCCAGAGCCGGGCGCCCGTGTTGGGGGGTCGCTTCCCCTCGAGCTCCTCCACGCCGCGCTCCGGCTGCTCGCCCACGGGGCCGGGGCTGCCCTCCGGCTGCACCAGCACCTCCGTCATCGCGATTCGGCTCCGGGCAGGCGAGACGAGTGTGGCCGGGAAAGGTGCCCGGGGCTGGGTTAGGAGAGCACCCGCATCCTTTCTGCTGCGGGGGGAGGTCAGCGGGGGCCGGCGAGGGGAGCCCGGCTGGGGCGGCGGGGAGGCGAGCGGGCAGGGCTCATCTTCAGGGTGTGAGCCAGGCTGTCGAGGCAGCTCGGCAGCCCCAAAAGCCTCCCTCCCCCTGCGAGGAAGTGACTCAAAGGCAGCCCCCCCCCCCCGGCGGCCCCCACGCGTTTAACTCTCGCCCTGCCGCCCGCCGCCGCTCGGGAAGGCTGGGGGGGCTGACTGGGCTCCCCGCCGCCGTTATCCGTCCTTATCCGCTGTTATCCCTTCCCTGTTATCCGCTTCGCAGCGCCAGCGGCAGTCGCGGCCCCGGAGGCATCGCCGCTGGTGGCTGCAGCATTCCCGGCTCCGAGAAGGAGCCAGGCTGGCTCTCCTGCTCCCAGTAAGTGGCACAGGGATGGGACTTTTGGGGTGTCCTGTTAGGCCTAGGGACAGGGGACCCAGCATGGCCCCTCAGAGTACCCTGGCCCTTGTCAGCCCCACTGCTGGGGGGCAGGGGGATGGAAGCCCTGAAGAGTCCCTGCCTGCTGCTTCTCCTGATAGGCAGGAACATGGGGAGATGCAGGCTTGGGGGGGACTCGCACTGCCCCCCAGTTCATCCCTCAGCAGCCCCAGGAGTCCATATGGGTCACCCCGTGGATCCCTGTAGGTCTGGGGAGCCCCAACACCACAAATCTCCCCCTCCAGAGCCTCTGCCAGCGACAGGCAGACGGACAGGCAGCAATTCCCTGAGGGTACAGCAGGCACCGTGCCCATGACAACACAGACTCTGCTCCAACAGCCACATCCCTCTGTGCATCAAATGGGCTGAGAAAAGCGCTGCCCCATCACCCTGAGACCCTCCCTTCATGCACCCACCGCCCACCTCCTCACACGCCCCAGCCTCTCTCCTCTGCAATATGGGCACAAGCACTCACAGCCTGCTTTGCCCACCCCAACATCCGTCTGCCACCCTGCCACAGCACCACACACCCCTGCCAGCACCACCAGACACAGCTCAGCTGCTGGGAGCAACTGGGACAGCTCAGAGCAAGGCTGAGCCCTGCAGTGCAGGGCACACAAGCCCCCCACAGCAGCTCTACCTCAACCACAGCACCTTTCTAAGGTTCCAACCTTAGAACCCCAAACAAAACGGGGTTAACAACAACTAAACAGGGTTAATGCCAACCAGGAGTCACACCTTTCCACTCTACAGGCAGTGGCACAGCACAGGGTGCCCACCCTCCACCAGCCACAGGGACAAGCCTCAGGGTAGGGGTCCAAGGCTCACCACGCTGCAGACCCCTCAGGGCTCATTGCCAGGATGCTTGAGAGAAGGTTGGTGCCAACTCCAGACACTCCATGGACCCAGCCATGTCCTCTGTGCTGGCAGGACGTGACTCCCACCCATGGCATCTCTGCAGCCTTGGGAGGCCCCCACTGCCCACACAGAGGGGCTGTAGCAACCCCCTCACACACTGACCCACTCCCACCAGTCCGTGGTGCTGATAAGCTGCTTTTGTGACCAACTCATGTGCCTGCGTGGCCAGATTAGAGCTGGGCAGTGGGCACAGGGCTGGCTGCTGGGGGGTGTGGCCATCCTGGCAGCCCCCAAAACACCACGGACCTTTGCCAAGCTCCTGATGCCAGTGCTGGTATCTGGAACCAGCAGCAGCTCATGATGAGCCCAGAGACCAGGCAAAGTAAGGACCACCCAGGACAGCACCTCTGCCTGAACTGCTCAGGGAGAGGGCAGGGGGGCAGCACTGGGGCTTGGCCACAGCCCACAGACCCACGAGTAGTGCTGCCCATTCTGCTCGTAGCTTTCCTGCCCTGCCACCCACTCCACCCCTGGGGCAGAGACCAAACTGTGGCTTTTGGTGAGGGCATGACGGCCTCAACCCTGAGACTGCTCCGTCCAGCCAGGCCCTCCTCGGGACAAGCAGCCCCAGGGCCTTCTCTCCCTTCCTTCCCCCACAACTTTTGCACAGCGGGTACGAGCTGTGCTGTCCCTGTCCCGACCCCCGCATCTCCCAGCATGACTCATGTTTGTTGATCCAGGCTATTTCCGAGAGCGCAGCTGGACTGATCCCCGCGGGACATCGAGCCCCTTCCCTGCCCCGGCCCTCCTGCTTGGCCCAGTGCCACCCCCACAGCACTTGTTTCCTGGAGGGAGGGCAAGAGATGGGTGATTTCAGGTAAGAACAAGCCGCTGGTGAAGCCAAGCCCCCATCTCCCACCCTGCTGGTGCTGTCCCCCACAGCATCCCCTTCCCAGCAGAGTTTCCATGCTGCTCCCCACTCCCCTGGGACCTGCCCTCAGTTGCTTTCCCACGGAGCAGGCAGCCACACTGGGCCCTTTGAAGTGGCCTGGAGTTGAGGGCTGCGTCCCAGGCTTGACACTGTCCCCAGCACAGCTGGGAAGGCAGCCAGCCTGGGGGTCCCCACCACGAAAACACAGGGGCACCCCCACCCCAAACCATCCTCTGCTGCCCTGGGCGTCCCTGCAGCCTGGCCAAGGTGGGTGCTGGGAGAATGAGGGGTCTGGGGGTTGCCTGCCCCTCACTCCATCCTCCCAGACCTGCTCACCTGGGAGCATCTCAGGGCAGCCCAGGCCTCCATCCTTTCCTGCCTGGCAACCACCAATCAGAAGCAGCTCAGTCGTTGCCCTGGAAACCCCCGTTGCTATAACAGCAGCTGATGGAGGCACAGGGAAGGCAGATGGTGGCAGAGGGGGACAGGGGAGGGATGGGGGGCTGCACGCTCAAAGCCCTCCCTGGGGCAGCTGCCAACCCCCTCTCCACAGCCCCCCAGGGCCGCAGCACAGGAGGCAGTGGAACAGAAACACTTCCAGCCCAGCTGGGACTGGATGCACATCTTGGGGGGCAGGTCTGGTTTTGCCACCTCTGTAGGATCCCTTCTCATTTTGTTCAACCTCCTCCTGCAGCCACTGCGCCCCAGGACCATCATCCACATCCCTGATGCCCACCAATCTCACTGCCTTCAACCCCGCGATCCCTGTACCCCGTTCCCAAAAGCAGAGCTGCCTGTCCATGCTGCCAGGCATAACTCTCTCATCCCAGGCATAACTCCAGAGCATCCCTCCCAGCTCAGGTACCTGGCCTCAAGAGGTTCACTGCTGGCTGAGAAAATGCCCCAAAGCCCCAGCACATACCTGGATCTGCCCCTTGCCCATGATCTTGTCCACAATTTCGTTGTTGTCCTTGTTGAGTTTGGTCTTGTCGTAGCACTTCTCGTAGCAGAGGATGCGCAGGGATTGGGAGCCCTCCAGCTCGATCTCAAACTCCTGGGGTGCAGAGTGAGGGTGGCTCAACCCCAGCACCCCAGAGCAGCTCCAAAATTGGGGTTGAAGGGAAATGGGGAGTGCAATCCCCTGCCTGCATCCCACCCTCCCTCACCTCGTTCCACTGCGGCTCCGTGGTGTCCCGGAAAACCCTGGTCTTGGCTTTGCTGACAAAGTAGCCGAAGGAGTCCACCTCCAGCGTGCAGTAAAGGTCTGGGGGAGCAGACACTGCTCAGCACCTGAGGAACATCCCCACCAGCTCCCCGGGGACCACAGAGCGGGGCCACGTGCTGGACCCCAACTCTTCCGATCACACCGGCCCCTCGGAGCAGGGGGGGCACCCACACTTACTGGCAGACTGCTTGAAGCCCTTGGCAGAGTGGACGATGACGTGCAGGAACCCGTAGAGCCCGGGGGACTCATCATCTATGATGGGAGAGCAGAGGCTGTGTCAGGGCTCGGCTGACACCTCGCGTGCCCCAGGGCTGTCCCCAAGGCAGCCTTGGCCACAGGAAGTACTGGGTACCTGCAGTGACATCCAAATGTCCCCAACCCCCTTGAGGGCTGTCCCTAAGTTCTGTATTCCCTGCTGGCATCCCAAGCTCTCCTGCTGCCGGACAGCCCTGGGGGAGGTTCCCAGTAGTGCTGGCTGGGTCTCACCCTGGGGATGCTCTGGTCCTGCCCAGCCCACTGGGGTTCTGGAGAGACCCCAAAAGCAGCCTCGTGCTGCAGCTGGGATGGCTCTGCCTGGGAACCCGACGCTGCTCCAGCAGTGCCACCTGGTGGGAAACTGTCCCCTGCACAGCACGGTCTCCAGCAGGGACCCAGTGGATACTCACCATCCTTGTTGCTGGTGACCGGGATGTTGTGGACAGTGCGTAGCTTGAAGCAGGATCCTGTGAGCACCTGGAGCTCCACTGAGCTCAGGACAAAGGCCTGGAGGTCTGTGAGAGGACAGGAGAGGAGCTTCAGAGGGATGCAGCCAGCATTGGCCATGGGAACTGGCAAGCAGCAGGCTGGGATCCTGTGGGACCTCCCTGTGGCCCCTGGTGGAGCCAGGAATGCCATGAGGGCCTCAGCAGCCCCAAACTTACCCTTTTTCTGAAGTTTCTGGATGGCCTCCCTCCACTCGGACCGCTCGTAGTCAGAGGACAGCAGGAAGAGGTAGCTCTGTAAGGGAGAGGAGGATCTGTCAGTCTGTGTGCAGGCAGGGCTGAGCCCGGCCCCCAGCCCACCCTCCTCACCTTCCCGTTGCGGTTGTGGATGCGGAAGGGGATGGCGGGCGAGTTGAGGAGCAGCCAGAATTCGTTCTCAAACATCTTCTTCTTGAGGCGCTCGATGGCCCGGCTCTGGCCCTTGTTGGCTTTCTGCAGACAGGGAGCAGAGAGGAGCTTTCACAGGTGCCCCTGGTCCCCATGTGCCATCCCCGACCCCAAGAAAGGCACCCACCCCAGCAGCAGCTCCCACACCCTGCTCTCACCTCTTTCTGCACCTCGCTCTTGATGGCTGAGATCTTCATCTTCATGTCCTCCAGCTCGTGGTCAGGGATGACGTGGACCTGCGGGCAGTGCTCCGACTCCTCCGGAGAGGGGAACACCAGGTCGGCCAGGGGCACGTACCACTTGCAGTCGTACTGCTGCTGCTTCCTGTGGACAGGGCACGGATACTGACTGATGCCTGACCCCCTCCCTGGCACATCCTCCAGCCCACTGGGGGACAGAGGATTGTGACACATTCCCCCTGTGCCCAGCACCCTCCTTACCCCACCGCCGTCTTCTTCAGCTTGGCACAGAGCAGCACGTCGGTGAAGAGGAAGACGTGCCGCAGCTTCCGCGAGCCCTCCGACAGCTCCACCAAGAAGCCATCCTTGACGAGCTGCCGGGTCTGTGGGGCAGTGGGGCTGCTCTGAGAGCGGGCAGGGAGCAAAGGGCAACCAACTGTGCGAGTGGGTGCTCCTGTCTCTCTCTGTGGCTCAGCCACCAGGAGTATGGGAAGGTCCGTGTCCTCTGGGTGCTATTTTGAGTCAACAGGGCGCCAGCAAGCAGCAAGGACCAGGTAGAGCCCTAACATTGCACCCAGAACTGCTCTGGGGGTTTAGAGGAACCCCTCCATCTCCTGGCCAAGCACCATGGAGCTCCTCAGGGTGGAGACACCAGCCAGGGGCTGGCAGAGGGCTCAGCCCTCACCCTGTGCCCTGCCACTTCCCCCCCACACTGGCTCACCTCGCCTTTGGGGGTGGTGACCGCTGTCCTCCGGGGATCGATGTCCTCATTGATGCTGGACAGGAAGTTCTGCGAGATGCGGAGGGCGTCCTGGAGCAGTGGGTAGTCGGGGTGGTCGGATGGGGTGTGCTTGAGGAGGTCCTGGAAGGGGACAGGCACAGGTGAGCAGCTGGAGAGCACCCACCCTGGCGAACCCCCATCAGCACTCCCCATGGCTGCAGATCCCCCGGAGCAACAGAGACAGAGCCTCCCACCACCCCCCTACCCCAGGACTGGTGTCACACTCACGTGCAGGACGAGGGTGCTCCGCGTCACCCGGTCGATGGGTTTATACAGCAGTGCTGAGGGGAGAGAGAAGGTGTCAGCAGCCACCCCTTCTGGAGCCCTGGCCCCTCTCCCACCCTGGTCTGCACAGAGCCCTGGGTGAGCATCTGGGATCCATTCTGCAGAGAGCCAGCAGCAGCTGGACCATCATGTCACTGCCTGGGGCAGTGGTGAGCCACCAGTGCCACAGCCCCGCTCCCTGCTGCGCTGGGGGCACGGGGAAGCACGGCCAGGCTGGTGTGTGGTGACAGCCACGGTGACACCGCTCCACCCTGGCTGCTGGATGGGATGTCCCACCACAACTGTGCCAGCACATCCCCCACCCCCCGTGGCAAAGGACCCCCCCGTGCGCAGTGCCCCAACACCGGCGGTGGCTGTGGAGCGGAAGAGCTGCTCGTCACCCACAGCAGCTTTTTCAGTTTCCCTTTTGGGTCGGCAGTGGGTCCTGTCCCTGCTCTGCCACCCCATGGGACACCCTGTATCCACCACCCCAGCCAGCCCTGGGTGCCAGGGGAACCCAGGCTGCTTCAGCAGCAGCAAAACCCCCATCTACAGAGAATGCCTGGGCCAAGGCATCATCCCAATGCCACTGCCCTGTGTCCCCTCCCCACAGCCCCCCATGACTGCATGTGAGGCTCCATCTAGGGCAGGGCAGCAGAGCTGCCTCAAACATGGGGCACAGACACCCCCTTTCTCCTGCCATGCAACCTCCCAGCAGGAAACCAGCCCTGGAGGCTCTTCAGAGGCACATTTCACTGGAAGCAGCCAGACCCTCCTTCTCCTACCTGACTCTTTGGGCAGGCAAAAGCACAGAGCCCACTCACAGTGCTGCTCCCCATGCCTGGCCACTGGTGCGTTTCCTTGGGCTGGTTCCAGCAGGCCAATGCCTCTGGGTTTTCCCTTCACTTTGGAGCACTTCCCCAAACTGCCAGTGCCAAGAGGGGCCAAGTTTCGGGCCGTGGGAGAGGAAGAAAAGCTGCCACCTCCTCACCCTGCACTGAGTTGTGGGGGGCTCCCACCCCCTTTACACCAGAGGGTGCTGCCTTGTGATGCCCAGTCCTGAGAGAGGGACCCCCATCCTGGTGAACTGGGGGTCTCTGCTCAGGAGGTGAGGATGCCAACCTGGACCCTAAACAGAGGCTGCATCCCCCACAACTCTGTGCCAGCGGGCAAAGCCAGAGCCCCACTCCCTGCAACAGCCAGCGAGAATCCTGCTCTGGGATAGAGGGGGACAGGCAGGGCGTCCCCATCTTTCCACCACCCTACACCCACGGGTAGGATGGACCCTCGTGCTGCCATCGCTACAGGCACACTCAGAGCACTGGGGGGCACTGGCAGGGGCTGTCCCGGCTCAGTGGAGGAGCCGACACAGTCCCGCCAGCCTGGGACCCAGACAGGGGCAGCAGCAGGCAGGGATGCCCGGTGCTTCTCCTCCCAGCCACGGAGAGATGGACGTTCCAGCCCCACGACGGTCACAGCCTCCGGCAGGCAAATGGGGACCCCTCCCTATCCCCATCCGCACGGCACAGCTCAGGCAGGGGGGATCCCCCCAGCCCAGGATCCCCCCGCCCATCCAAGCTCCTCTATCCCGCTGCCGGCACGAGCCCCTGCCCGGCGGGCACGGCGAGCGCGTGGCCGCGTGTGCCGGAGCCAAGATGATTCAATCCAGCCTGGAACAAAGACGTTCCCAACTTCAGGCTGCAGAGCACGACGCAGCCTCCAGCCCCCCGCCCCGGGCAAGCACAGCCAGCCCCGGGCCAGCATCCCCGCAGCATCGCTCCCCACCGGCACCCCCAATTCGGAGCCGCCCCCCTCGCCTCACCATAGGTGCAGTTACAGCAGAGCCGGACAATGACGAGGATTTCCATGGCAGCCCCGTCTCCGCGCAGCCATCGCTGCCGCCCCGCAGCAGCTCAGCCCGGCTGCGACACAGCATCGGCCCCTCCGCACGGCTCTGGGCACGGCCGGCGGGCGGGGAGGAGGGGTGGGCAGGGGGTGGGGGGCTGCTGCACGCCCACAGCATCCTAAAGAGCTGCGACAACCCCCACCCCCTCCGCCCTTCTCGCCGGCTCCGCACTCGGGCACACAAAGGGCTCCGCTCGCGGGAGCCGCTCGGTAATTCCCGCTCGGTAATTCCCGCTCGGTAATTCCTGCTCGGTCATTCATCCCCGCCGGTCCCGCGGGCAGACAAAAGGCTGCGTCCCCCTCCCCGCGCCCGCCGTACCCTCCATGGTGACGGACGTGTGGCTCTCCTTCGAGTCCTTGGGGCCCTTCACCTTCAGCTCCTAGGGAAGGAAAGGGCCATCAGTGCAGCCCGCGGGGGGCTGGGGGTGGGGGGAAGGTCATTGCTCAAGATCACAGGGTCCCCCCAACTCTGCTATCTCCCCCCGGCCCCAGCCTGGCCACGCTGGGGGCCACATGTGGGTGCTGGGTGGAGGTGTGGGCTGTACAGGATGTGTCCTGGCTGGGAGCAGCTCTGGCTGTGCCCAGCAGTTGGGATGTGGTGGTGATCCCACTGAGATGAACAGCTCTGCTGTGGAGGGGCTGGAAAGAGCAGGGAGCCGTTGCCGCCACGGAGGTCTCTGTTTCTATAGGGGAGCCAGGCATGGAGCTGCAGCCAGCAGGAGACAGGAGATCAGCCACAGGTGCCCAGCACCCACGGTCACTGGATAGGGCGAGCTGGTGCAGGCTGCCCTGGCACCCCTAACACGGTGACAGCGAGGGCTGAGCCCAACCTGAGCTTGCACAAGGTGAGGGACAAACTCCTGCAACGCCCAGAGATCACAAGCCCCCAGCAGAGCCACCAATGGCTCAGCCCTTGGGGACAGTCACTGGGAGTCCCCAGGGCAGGGAGAGCATCTCCACAGGGCAGTCGCAGTCCAGCTCAGCCACAGGGACAGCATTCTCTGCCCTGTGCTGGGACAGCCTGGGGAACACCCTTGTCCCACTGGCACAGCCCTATCCCAGCTTACCTCTGAGATTTTCTGGAACTGGTAGTTGCTCTGGCTGCACTTCTCTGCCGTCTCCAGGGCGATTTTGTAGTTATCCACAAAGGCCTTGTAGACGCCCAGCTGGCTGGCCTGCGGGGAGCGGGGGTTAGCCGGGCACCCAGCAGGATGCTGAAGCCCCCCTGCAGCACAAGGAGCCTGGCAGCCCCTGAGGGCACTCTGTCCAGAGTTGTCCCCTCCTGGCAGGACACTGCCACACCACAGCCATCTGGGCAGCCACACATTTGGCTCTGCAGGGAAAGCTCTTGCCCAGGGCAGGACGGTGGGGCTCCTGTCCAGTCCTGTGCCCCCACAAAGCTCCAAAATCCAACAGAGAGATAACAAGTGCCTAGAGAGTAGAAGCTGAAGCTACAGCCGCTTTCTAGTGCCCTTCAACCCACCCTCTCCTCCTCCTCTCCCCAGCATGGCCACAGCACCCACGGGCACAGCCCATGCTCCCACTGTACATCCAAAGCAGCAGCAGGACCCGGCCCTCCTTCTCTTCCAACTGGAGCAAGACCTGAGGAAGGTGCATACCAGCTTCTGGAAGAGGTGGCCCATAGTGACGTTGCTGTCCCACTGCTGCACCTTTGGGCACAGGCTGTCATAGAACTCCTTGTGGATCTCATAGATGTCCTGGATCTTGTAGAAAATCGTCTCGATCTGCTGCAGGGTGAGGACAGGCTGCGACGTGGTGGCCGTGGCCTTCAGTGGCTTCATGGGCTGCCAAAGGAGAAGGGAGAGCATTTGAGATGAGGGCTGGGAGGGGAACACTGGGGACGAGGAGGATCTGAGTCAGCAGCAAGGGCTGCCCAGGACAGGTCCCAGTCAGCAGCTGCACCAAGGGGCACTCTGGGCTTGTGCATCCCCGCAGACTTCCCCGTGGTGGTGACCCCACATTGTGCAGCCGTGTCTCGGCCATGAAGGTCAGCGAGTCCACAAGAGGAAGCAGGGCTCTAAATACCTCCCCAATGGGCAGCAGAGAAGGCAAGATGGGGCAGCCAGGCCAGCAAGGCTGGCGCCAGTGTGGCTCCTGAAGCTTTGCCCCCACCCAGGCAGCACCCAGGCCAGACCTGCCTGGGGAAAGCTGTCCTGGAAGAAATTACTCCATCCATCCATCCACCCACACCTGCTGGGGACCATCTCTGGAGGGGCTGTCCAGTCTGGGGGCTGTGCTCACCAACAGGAGGGCCTCCAGCTGGTTGATGTAGATCTCCTCACTGGCCAGGAAACCCGAGAGCACCAGCTTCCGCATCTCCAGGCCTTTGCCAGCCTCTCGCTCGCCCTATGGAACACAGCAAGGAGCCTGGCTGAGCCAGCAAGTGGCACAGGAAGAGACAGACACCCCATTCCACCAGCCCACCCCTGGCATCCCCATGTGGGCACATGTCCCTGCCAGTGCTGGGAAAGCTCTGTGGAAGGCCCAGGCATGTGCCCGAGGGGCAGCAGAGCCCAGCTGGAGCCAGCTGGGAAGACACGAGCTGTGCTGGCTTCTCTCCCCTCCCTGCTCCTGGCTGGCTAGGAGCCCGGCACGGCTGGCAGCGCTCCAGGATGGCGCACAGCATGGCAGGACTCTCCCAGGGCAGAGTCCAGAGACGCCCAGTGAAATCATGCTTGGCGTGGATGGTGCTGCCACGTGATCCGGCACCACCCTTTCCCTCGGCTGAGGTTTTCCCAGGAAAGTGCCACCCCAGCAGTCACTGCCTGGTGGCACCGGGGCAGTTCCCAGCACCCAGGTCTGCTGCAGCACTGATGCCATGGTGGCATGACTCTCATGGCAGGGAATTGGCTGGGCTGGGGGGCTCTGTGACCCTCAGCGAGGCTCTCCCAGTGTCCAGACATGGGTGCCCCAGCCCCTGGACCATCCTGTCGTGCTTTAGCCTCCCCCCCTTAAAAATCACACTTGGGGACCAGGCTTTTGCCACCCAGACAGGAGCCAAGCACAGCCATGGGGGCATCAGTCACTCTGGGCCATCAGCCATTCAGAATGGTCTGGGGGGGACATTGGTCCTGCCTCACCTCTGCCCACACCAGCCCTGGCCGTTGTGCCAGGAGAGGTGACAGCTGCAAACACCTGAGGGGCACAGCCCCGAGGTGGGCATGGCTGTGGAGCAGCACCTCCCTGTCCCACTCTTAGTGTCCATCAGCTGGCCCTGGGGGCTGCTATGCCAATCAGGGTGCCCAGGCTGCACCATTAAGGCTGGGCAGCAACGACTGGTGCAGCAGGAGGGTGCACAGGGCGGCCACTTTTATTCACTGGGAGTTCGTGGGCTCGTTGCCACAGATTAGTCACGGGCTCTTCCTGCTTCCCCCAGCCTGGGCCCTGCGCAGGAGCTCAGGAGATAAGGGGCCCACCCACGCCTGGGGCCCACAGCTCCCCACGAGGACGACGCCAACTGGACCCCCACGACCCAGAGGAGCAACCCTTAATCGGGGTCCTGTGGCTGCCCCGTGCAGGAGACCCCAGGGAGAGCAGGGGCAGAGCCCTCCTCCAGCACCCAGGCACCCCTGGCAGGGTGGGCATGAGAAGGGTGCTGGGCTGCACCTGCCAGCACAGGGGTCACCCCAGCTCCAGGGTTTGGGACTGTTTAGGCACTGCTGGTGGCCGTGTGGTGGGGCACAGCGTTAACCAGCCCCTTCCGGAGCATCCAGCTGAGCCACTCAGCCCCTCCAGCAGCATACATGGCCCTACTTCCCCCTAGGAGGATGACTGGGAGGTCACCCCACTCTGAGGCCTTTGCACCCGATCCCTGGCACAGCCCTGCCCTGTGCCCCGGCCACAGGCAGTCCTGGGGGCGTGGTGGGGCTGCAGTGATGCTCCTGCTGCCCCTCAGCTCTGCCCTCCACCAGCACCCGCCACATCGACCCAGGAGCTGCCCTGTCACCTGGGCATCACCAGCACCAGCAAGATGCCCCTTGTCCCCCCACCCTCTGCCCAGCACGGGAGCAGAGTGCCCCCGCCGCCCACCTTCTCTCCGGCCGAAAACGGAGACCCAGGGCTGGTGGGAGTTCCTGGCTCAGAGTCATCTTCATCCTCCAGCACTTTATCCAGGTACCCTATGGCCTCCTCTTCCTCCTCCATGGCCGGGCGGGCAGCGGGGGAGCAGAGGGGACCCCACAAGGCTCCGGGCAAAGGGGCTCACACGGCTGAGCTGTCCCAGTCTGACTCAGCTCTGGACGCCGGCCACCACCGCGGGATGAAAGGAACCATTATGGGATTCCCCGGTGCTCCCGCCTGCCCCGAGCTACGGCCTTCGTCCGCGGCGTCCCGGCCGCTCCCGGGGCGGCTGCTCGGCCACCTCCGAGCGGCGGCAGCGGCACCTCCGGGCTCAGCAGCGGCGCGACCCGAGCGCCAGCCCGGCCGTCCGCCGGCCTCCGCTCGGCCCCGGGGGGCCGCCGGCGGTGGAGGGGCCGCTGCCCGGCGCTCCGAGCCCCAGCCGGCCCCAGCTCCGCCCTGCTCGCTACAGGAAATGCATCTCTCTTGGCGCTGGAGGTGGGGCTGCTCCGCCGCCGGAGTGTGGTCAAGGCTGGGGCGCGCAGAGCAGCCGCCTTCCCCAGCGCTGGCACAGCCTGGCGTGTCCAGCACCGGGAGGGATCCCCTGCACCCTACCAGGCCACTCGCCCGGCAATGCGAGAGCACCATCCCGCCTGCTGCGGCCCCTTGGATCCCTTCCTTGGATCCCGGCAGAGCCGGACCATGGGGATTGCCACCAGCGAGAAGTGACCTTGCAGGGCAGCAGCATCACCAGGTCCCGTAGGGGGACCTGACTCTGCACCCCCAGAAAGCACCAGACCTCTCCCAGGCCAGAGGGGATGCGGGGCAGGGTCATGCAGCTGAGCCACCTGCCTTCCCACATATCTGCCCCACATCCCACAGGGATCAGCACTGGCACCTCCCTGCTGCTCCAGCCTGACCACAACCCCAGGCCAGCTGGGACATGGGGACACGAGCAGTGGTGTGACACCTCTGAGGGACACTGTGGGCCTTGGCAAATGGGGCAAGATGAGGCTGGAGAAGGGGACACCAACACAAGAACTATTTCAGCAGCTTTTCCCCTGCTCCTCAGAAGCAAAAGAGGAACCTGTGGCCGCATGTGCTCTGCCCACAGGAGCCATCTCTCCTGCCTGCACCCGTCTGAGCCTGGAACAAACTCCTGCTGTAAGAAGTGGGCAGGGATACAGACACAGGGACTTTCCAGAGCCTGTGTCCAACCCTCTATCCGTGACACAAGTCAGGCTTTGCCCAGACTTTGCTAAGAGGGAACTGTGCCAGGACAACATGACCCTGCCTGCCACAGCTGGGTCCCCAAAGCAGGGAATGGTCCCTGTCCAGGGAAATGCTACCCACAGTGCCAAACCCAGCAGCACCCAAGCAGGGGCTGGGGCAACACCCAACATCATTTCCATGGCACTCGTGTTTCCCAGGTGGGAGAGGGAGGGTCAAGATGTCTCTGCACCAGCAGTCACAGGCCTCAAACGTGGCCACAGCTGCCCCAGGAGCTTGCAAGATGAAATGCCCCACCAGAAACCTCCTCCAGCCCTCTCAAAGGCAGTGACACCAGTCCTGCCTCACCAGAGAAGAGCAATGGAGTGAACCTGGCACCCTGTGCCACCAGCCACAATGGGATCCCCATGAAACCCTGTGCCCCTGGCAGGGCTGGACACACAGGGACAGAATTTGGAAAGTGCTCTGCCAAGCCCTGGCACAAGCAGCTCTAGAGATGGAGGCAGAGGCAGCACTGAGCTCCAGCGCTTCCCAGTCCTGTTAGCAGCAACCAAGTCATCATCCCTGCCTGTGCCCAGACCCAGTGTGCCCCACCAGCCCCCAAGGTCACCCCTTTGCCAGCACCTCCCCTCCTGCTCCCCAGGGCCACTCTCTGCTATCCCTGACGGTCCTGGTGAAGGAGCCCAGCGCTCACAGACCCGGCACCGGCGTGTCAGGGCTGGGGCTCGAAGGGCTGTGCTGGAGGACAAGGAGCCCTGAGCCCGGGTTTGGAGCCAGCCCCGGGAGAGGGTCCTTCCCACAGCGGCGAAGGGCAGGACCTCCCTCTCCCTCCCCGGGGGCCGCCCGGAGCGCTGGGTGCCTGGAGGACGATGCTGCTCAGGGAGACCCAGGGGAGGAAGCCACACCTCTCCCTCTTTTGCCTCAGCATCCGGGTCAGGAGCTTAACTCTTTCCACGACAAAAAAAAACCCTTAATTTTTCCCAGCCCGGGCAGCGGCAGCACCGAGGGATCCCCCAGCCTGGGGCCTGGCGGTGGCTCCTCGCAACAGCCCCGCGAGGCCAAGGCCAAGGCCAAGGCCTGCCTGGACCCCGCTGCTCCCAGGCTTTATGGAAGCTTTTATTCTGGAAAAAAAAAAATCCCTTTTTTCCCTTTTGCAGCTCTTCAGGCATCCCTCCTGTGAGACACGCTGGGAAACCCAAGGGCTTCGTGGGGATGCGCTCGGAAGAGCAGGGGTTAAATCTAAGTTCTCCAGAGAGGGGGGGCACTTTGTGTCCCCCCCCCGGGCTGGTGACTGGGTCCCCGAGTGCCGCTAGATGGA